AACCAGGGTTGCCAACTTGGCTCTAAGCCAAATTTTTCGATTTTGGCTTATTTTTCTTGCGCTTGGCTTAAACTTTGTTTGGCTTATATTTATTTTCTGGCTTATTTTGGCTTCTTTTTAAAAAATGGAGTTAGAAATCATATATATTTGTATTTTTAAATCAAATATAGTTTTTTTGTTTATGATTAAATTGACTCAATAGTCAATTTAAAAAAGGTCATTTTGACCAATGACAGCAAAGCTCTGCCGTTCTCACTTTGTTGCTGCTGTCTTCGCGGACTTCCGACAATCACAAAATATAGTACTATATGGTTGCCGAAATGTAGCAAAATTCAATACAGGCAATTTATGCAATACACTGTTACAATATTCAATAAACTCATATAATATTCAATAATCGCAAAAATGTTCAATATACCCCTTTGTGTAACTGCATTAAATATTCAATGCGACAGGCGAAATCTTCACTAAATTACGCTGCAAAATATTTAACTCAGCAAAAAATATATTCATTAAAATCTCGGAAAATATTCAATAGCTTTGGAACAGCGGTCTACAGCGAAAGAATTAATGGACCATAGTTCCCAATTTACCATAGCAGTTCACTGACCATAGCATAGTCATAGTCGATATACGGTCATTGTCGCCTGGAAACGAGGCGAGCGAGGCTGCATGTGCTCTGCCGTTTTTTTCACGTTTCTTTTACGAGCAGTATAAATTTACATTTATAATCTACGGACAGAAAGTCTGAAATACGCAGAATTGTAGAGGAGGTTATCACCAAAAGAAATCGTATGGCTGTGAGTGGTGGACTGCAATCGACTAGCAATCTTCCTGTGGCAAATACATAAGATAGTTGAGTAACGAGTCAAAGTCGTCTAGGTATGTACCATATCAGTATTGTTTATAATATAATATCGCTATGTTTTAAGAGTATTAAACAACACAAACTATAGTAACGTTTAAAGTCAAACAGCCTATTTTATTAATGCTTGTATGAATGAGTTGACAGAAATCAAACCTACAACATTTTGTTATAAACTGCTACATAAATACAGCAACGACCATTGTTTCATAGTTTATAAACGAGTATAAATATTAAATATACCAACCAAGATATGTCACAGTATATTCAGCTTAACCCCTAACTTAGGTATATATGCATGAATATATTTTGAGGTGTTATCATTCCTCTAAATATTATTCTTGCCTACCTTGAAGGCTAAATGGCTAGACCTTGTGCAGGAATTACCTTTTTCCTTAATTAAATATTTTACTTTAGACACACAAAATGTGACTGGGGTGGTGCGCAGGGCTCGTGACTTGCTTCAAGCAAACACTATTTCTGTATCCTCCAATATATCATCTCAGATTCCAAAGCGCCGTAGAGTAAGCCATTCATATGCAAAAGAGCAAAAGAAAAAAACTCCTGAAAAGAAGACATTTAAACTTATATGTTTAAATCATGTTTCTCAGTTAGCTGAGGAAGAATCACAGGAATCTGGTGGTATTGTCCCAGACTACTCTATATGCAAAGATGATGTTCTGTTTAGCGGGACTGTGGATGTCATGACAATGAACAACTAATGTAGGGATGAGCCGATAAAGAAAATTGCCGATTACTGAGGCCGATTATTTATGAGCCGATTATTGGAACTAATCGACCGATTAATCGGTAGCTGCCGATTAATTAAAAATTAAAAGGAAAAGTACAAGATGAATAACCATTAAGTTGTAAATGCGGTTTTAATGTTTACAATATACACGATTTACAATGAAAATCGGCTTCATTCTCGCATGTCAATATTCAAAGTTGAGTTTTGGTAGATTATGATGTAAAAAGAGGATATTGTCAGCTTTATGTGGAGCTAGTCTACTGCGGTTTTCAGTTGAAATGTTCCCGGCCTCACTGAATACATGCTCGGAATAAACACTTGAACTTGGTGGACTTGGATAGGCTTTCTTGTTGGAGACCCACCAGGTATAGGGACACGCTTGTAACGGTTGCAATGGAAGACTGAGAAATGCGTTGATCTCTTCTTCAAGACTTGTAACACACTCGTCAGATGCAACTATCTCATCAAAACACGACCACAGTGCTGGATGCGGCCCATCACTGCGGCTTACTGACTCTTTCTCAACACTCTTTCTCAACACTTTCTCAAATTTCTTCAACACTGTAATGGCGGGAATCACTTCGGATATGCACGAATTGTTGTTGCTCATCAGTTTAGTGTATTCCTCGAGCGGTTGAAGCAAGCGAAGGACCTTCTCCATCAATGACCACTCGTTGGGCGAAAGAGTTGTGGTTGGTGTTTCAGCAGAGTAGAGTGTGACAGCCCTCTTATTCTCCAACAGCCTGTCCAACATGTAGTAAGTGGAATTCCATCTGCAAAACGAAACAAAAACATCCATATTGATATTGGTGGTTAATAAATAAAACAAACACTATCGTTTTAAAACATGCGAAACATTTGTCAAGTTTCAAGGTTGTAACATAGGCGGCCCAAAATTAGCGGCCGAAAAATTTTTCGGCAATTTGTCAATGTAATGTATAATATATAATTACATAAGGTAGGAAGCTCTTTTTTACGTTACGAAACTTACCACTTAGACTATGAAAAAATACATCAATTATATTGACCGAAACTAATAAAAATATATAGTAAACTAATCTCTGATAATTTTCCTCGCTTCTTACATGCGAATTACGATTTAAAACTACTTTTAACATGACAAAATACGGCAATATTTTTATAGTTTTTGATCAAAAATATTTTGTACGATGCGGGATGACAGTCGTCTCTGTATTCGTCGTTGCTTTGAAATATTTTACATGATCCTATTGGTTGAAAAAAGTTCGTTCAAATACTTTACAGTTTGTTTCTATTTTCAACCAATAGGATCATGTAAAATATTTCAAAACAATGATGAATACAGAGACCACTGTCATCCCGCATCGTACGAAATATTTTTGATCAAAAACTATAAAAATATTGCTGTATTTTGTCATGTTAAAAGTAGTTTTAAATCGTAATTCGCATGTAAGAAGTGAGGAAAATTATCAGAGATTAGTTTACTATATATTTTTATTAGTTTCGGTCAATATAATTGATGTATTTTGTCATAGTCTAAGTGGTAAGTTTCGTAAAGTAAAAAAGAGCTTCCTACATGTAATTATATATTATACATTACATTGACAAATAGTCAAAAAAGTTTTCGCCGCCAATTTTGGGCCGCCTATGGTTGTAACGCACACGGCAATAACTTATAATTTAACTCTCCTTGTCGCCACATCCTGAATCAACTTTTTCTTTGGATGACCCCGATCACTTTGGAGTTCTGCTAGCCTGCTACTTCCAAGCGTCGAGTGACGAAAGTGTGTGACCATTCGTTTCGCCTTGGCAATCATGTTGCTGACACTTCTTTGGGAAAAGATAGCATCGCTGATCGCTAACTGCAGTGTGTGAATGAAGCATGGGCTGCCCGTCAAACCGGCCAACTGTACGGCATTTGTCATGTTGCTCGCATTGTCAGTAACAACGATGTAACATCTTGAACTGTCGATAGTCCACTTTGACAACATGCTTGTAAACTTTTCAGTGATTCGCGGCCCAGTGTGGCTTCCGGGGAAGAAACTTGATTGTAGTACGATTGACTGCCGCGGGAACTTTGTTTCATTTTCATCAATCCAGTGGGCTGTCAGGCTAATGAACGCATCGTTGTTGTGGGAACATGTCCAAATGTCTGAAGTAAAGGAGAAATGTTTTGCCTTTTCCAACATTTTGGCAACAGCTGCTTCGGCTCGTTTCACTAAATTGGGAATTACAGCATCACTAAAGTGGTGTTGACTCGCTAAATGATAACGTGGGGCTACATGTTTCATCAGATGCATAAAACCCAGATCTTCGGCAATTAGGAATAGTTGTTGGTTGTTGAGAACTATCATTTCACCGATTAGTTTGGTAATATGCTGGGCTTGACGACTGTTCATATCCCAAGTTCGACCGGCTTCAACACTTTTTTCAAATGACATCTGCGTTTTTAGTTTCTTTCTCATTGTCACTGTGCTTGAGTTTGTGTCTTGTAGTGTTCTTTTACCTTTGGCAATATTCTTTTCCTTTTATCTGATGAAAGTGCAAGAAATTCCGTCGGATGCTTGCGGAGGTGATTGCGCATGTTTTCGTGGTGAACTGCTTGCATGTTTTTCCTCCTCTGCTGATTATAACTCGAGAGCCTTTTTCCTGACAAACTTTACACATAGCTTTCGTGTTGTCATCTTCCAAAATGTCAAAATATGTCCAAACTGCACTTTTTACCGTGTGCGCCATTAGCTTCTGCGAAAATTTCTCGTAATACTGCTAGAAAATTATTTCCTCTGCATTTTATAACAAACATCATGATTTATTTTAGCCAATCAGAAAACACATTATGGTATGACTCATTGCATAGGAATGCGTTGCTCAGGCATCGGAATGCGTCGGTGGCTTAACTGTTTTTAATGACTTCCTCAAACCCATTAACACAGATGAGACAAAAGACGTGGGTTTTTTCACTTTTTTGACGCCCGCAACGTGAAAAATTGAAAATCTATTCACTTTCATTCAGTTATTTTATCATTTTCTTGGCAGAAACAGAAAAAGTCTTATTGCCGATTATTTGCTGATTATCAGGCAATAATCAGCCGATTACCGATTATTTTAAAAAAGGCCGATTAATCGGCTTTGCCGATTATTTATCGATTAATCGGCTCATCCCTAAACTAATGAGAAAAATATGCAAAGTTATCAGTGTTAGACTTCCAAATGTTACAGAAGTTGACTTTTGTGAAAGTTAGTAGGAAAACTGTTTCAACACCAGTGTGTAGCCCTGGCCAGTTCTGGGATTTTTCACGAGTAAAAGTGATTGCTGGTCAAGGAAAACTTTACGTACGTTTGAATCAGTCAACTGATTTGGTCGTCCAATATTCAAAAAGATGGATCTGATCTTGGCTCTCCAGGTTCTTCCACATCAAATTGTAGCAGTACAGTTCAACTTTGCATGATGTTTCCACAAAAAACAGAGTCAGAAATCAGAGACGTATTATCAAAAAATCATGAAGATATAGACCTTTCCATAGCTGATCTTTTAGATGATGATGTTCAGCTTATTAAAGGGCTAGATACTACAACTGAAATTGGAGGTATAACCTAATAATTTCTTTTATTGATCCATTGAGATTATGGAAAGTATCATAGTCATCTTGTTGACCAGTTTTTTACACAACCCAACAAACTTGTTTTTGAAGTGTGTGTATCCAACAAGTTTGTTTATAATAAATTTGGCCAATTAAGATTGGTCTTTTCTTTTTTTTAATTATTTGTGATTTATTAAAATTGTTTAGTTCAGGACAAATGTAAGTGTAACAAATTTGTTTAAAAAAGTTACATGATTTTCAGTAGCTGGATCCTCTTTCAAATACAGTGACCTTTGTAAATTTGTTGGTTTGGAGTAAAGAACAGGAAATAGGCAAGAAGGAAATTTGTGAAATAATTTGTGACTGCTTTGTAGAAACAGTCACCACAAGTGAAAGTGTCCAAGGTGATGGAATAGATGATGAAAAGGTTCCAACCAAGAGTGTATTTGAGTTGTTAAGTGTCAAGATCAGCAACGATACAAGAAAAATAAAGATTGATCCAGAGGACTTGCTATCTGATGCACTTCAAGTATATAAGCATCCAAGTTTTGATCCTACACATCCATTCATTGTCCAGTACAAACAACAACCAGCTGTAGACACTGGTGGTGTCCTTCGTGAGTTTTATTCTGATGTTTTTAAGGAATTTGTCAACAACCCATCAGTTCGTATCTTTGAAGGCCCCTCTGATAAGCTACAGTTCCACTACAACCACACTGCATTGACGTGTGGTATGCCAAAAATGCTAGGCACCATGATTGCACACAGTCTTTGTCAAAATGGGCCAGGATTTCCCTATCTCACACCTTCCCAATATTATTATGTTGCTACTGGAGATATCAATAAAGCCATTGCATATGCATCTATCCATGACATTCATGATTATGAGATAAAGTCTTATGTTGAACAGGTAAATATTGTAATAAAGTCAATATAATGTTGATATAAAACATATAGCATAATAGTAAATAGTTCATGAAAAAACATGCTCTAATTTAGTTTGCTTTAAGCCAGCCCTTTAAATATATTTTTGTGCACAAATATTTACTTTTATGAACTTTGCAGAGCTATATTTTTTCAGAACATTTTGCAGTTACTTATTCTAACATGCTTTCTTTGGCTGTGATCAGGGGTATTAGGAAGAAATTTGGGGCCAGGGAAAATTCCCATTAGGACTGCAATTCCAAGGGCAAAATAGCTGCAAAATGTAATTTTCTTCATTTTGGGGTTACATTCTTTACAATATTAAACCTAATATATTGCTTTACCTGACCTGTACCAACCTGGGCAGAACTTTTTGTCAGTGTAACTCAGAAAAGAGGACTACATATTTCTAACATTGATTTTTTGCCTGGGGCAAAATACCCTGTTTGGAAGCATCCCTCTGGTTGTGCCTAGCAGTTGTGTTAGGTTTTTCTCTTGAATCATAAATTTGAATGAAATAAAGAGAGTATTTGGTATTTCTACCAACAGATCATGATGTCAAAAAAGTCTGATTTAGACATAATGAACCAGTCACTTGAGTTTCAAAGTCTGCTTGCAAACTCTGGATTGCAATGTCAAGTCACAGTAAGTTTTGATCGATTTAGTTCAACTGCAACAGAATTTACTTTGGTTATTTTAAATGCTATAGTGAATCAATTATGTTTAGTTTTAAAAGTTAATAGTGTTAATTGTTTTTCTATTAATTCTACATGCCAAAACATAAATGAATTGCTGTGCTGATTAAACGGGATGAATAGATTCTATATTTTATATTTTTCTTTTGTAGAATGAAAATAGACTTTCTGTTGTCCAAGCAATAATTGCACATTGCGCTGTAGTGAAAAATGTGCCTATGTTGGAGCAGTTCGTTAGTGGTCTAAAAACTCTTGGTGTAATTGATGTTATCAGACGTTATCCAGACAAGTTTTTACAGCATTTTGTTCACTGTGCAAAGACTAAAACGCGAGAATATTTAAAGGGATTATTAAAGTTGAAAGAAACTGGTATTGAAGCTAGTGGTTTGGCAGTGTTTAACATGTTACAGAGATTTGTGGAAGAATGCTCTGAAGAAGGTAAATAATTACATTAAAAATTTTCAATTACCTATAGACAACAGAAGATTGCATGGAACAATTAGGAGTTGTTCACATGAGCCCGGTTAACGAGATTTAACGAAGCGTGGAATGGTTTTGAAGAATTGAAAAGTCTTGTTGAAACAGAACAATCACAGGCTATTGTGAGTATGATTACAGGACTACCAAAATCGTGTTATTTACTCATTTCAATCTCTGTGACCGGGCTCATGTGAACAGCCCCCTAGAGCGCAAGTAGAGATTAGCAACTCACGATGCATATTTATACCAATAATCACTATAATGGTATCTTTTTTAGATATTGATAAGTTCATAAAATTTTCAACGGGCTGTTCTTACGTTCTTCCCCCACCAACGGAAAATATTGTCGTAGAAGTATCACCTGTCGGAAATATTGTGTGTATGTGTGTATATGTTAGTAAATGTGCGTGGTTGTCACTGTCAGTGTGTTTATGTGAATAATAAATATATTTACTACATAATGCATGGAAAAACAGGATGAATGTAAAATAGCGAAAAATAACAGGAAACGATCCTAAATGTATTAACTAGTTGTTTTTGCCAAAATGTATCGAAACGCGGGCACAATGTCCAAGGTAATTTGTTTGTGCCAAGTTAGTGGTTTGAGTTAAACGAAGTACGTCAGAACGGTTTCCGAACCGGGACTATAAGTAAATGTGTAGAACTGTATTATATGGAGATTGTTCGAGATTGGTTCAGATTGTTTTGAGATTGTTGTAAGAGAATTGTTATGTAAAATTGTTGTAAATTAAAGATAAAAGAAAAACCAGCGTGTGCAGGTCAATTTCCTGAACGAAGCCAGTGAATTCTGCGACATCACCAGATGCGGCAAGTATTTTTGCGTCTACTTGCCTATTCAAGCTGGTTTTTCCATCAAGGTTCAGCCAAGAAAGTTATGAGCTATTTAAAGCAGCAGTGTTAGGTGTAATTTCCACCACCAGGAAAGATAAATCGTTTTCTCTTCCATGAATATTGTTGAACTTATCCTTTAAAGTATCCAGTTCTAATTACTGTAAGTAAAAAGTAGTTTCTTTAATGTTGTTATGTTAAATTGCTGTTTTTGGCAACATCTATGATGCAGTCTTGAAGTTGAATGGATAGAAAGTCGTCGACTGTTGTTGCAGAATAGCTGACAGTGTAGTGTATCCTATTTTAAGTCGTTTACATTCTGTTACCTTTTTTTATAGATGCCTTTTTTCTTAGTTTGTTGTACGAGATATAGTGAATATAGAAATTTTGTAAATTTCAACATAGATAATCCGATAAGGCAATCCTACATCTGTGGCATCTGGAAAACATTTTTGTATTCTGCTTGCCTAATTTTGTTAGCTGTTGATGAGCTGTTGATGACTAAATGTTCACATTATATTAGAATGTTTAAGTTTACGATATACGTGTAACGACAAAGGCATGCAATAAAGAGCAAATGGACCCGTTTTCCGAAAACCCTAGGCACAGGCCCTGCCGTTTGCCGTTTCCGGAAAACGCGAAGCTTAAACTGCAAAAATTACACTAACATTAACAATTTTGCTATTCGAACAGTTCATTCAGAAAGTCTTTCGCTTGTGTAAACAGTTCTATACCATAGTTATTTGATTCTTGTTGCGGATTAACATGATCTTGAAGTTGATGAAGGTACTCAATTGGAAATGGGCAGTTCGGTGGTTCCACCTCCACAATGTTTTGATTTTCGGCAGGAATAGGACCATTCCAGTCAACGCCATATAGTTCAATGTTTTCAATTTCATGCCTTTCTAAATGCTGTCTAACGGCGTGATTTATCATTCCATTTGCCCAAATTTTTTCTGGACTCCAATTGTTCTCAGTTCTCATGGGGCGATTGTTAAAGGCTGCTGCGAACTCTTGAAGAGAATGATTAATTCGCGGTAAATATACATAATGCAGTAGAAATAGATCGACATTATTGTCCAAATCAAGGACACCAGTTTCCTCCATGGCATAGAATATGCAATAAAATAAATATAAACAGCAACGGAATACCTCCCTCCATAATCTTTCTATTCTTTGATTTCTTGTCGATGGCCCAGCAATAAAACTTCCTCTCCCTTCACCTCTCTCTCTTTCCATTAACCTTGCTACTTGAACATTTTCCCCTCCGTGATCCCCTCTAACTCGGGATGGATAACCAAATTCGTCAGTTGCTGCGGCAAAAACATGCACAACAGTGTCGGACCGGTTGTTGTCTGCACATAGAAGGTAAATTATCCGCCTGGAAAAACCATCTATGCACCCATGCACCACAAACTTCCATCGAATCAAAGCATGATTACCGTCTATATGCCAGAGAGCATTTGGTCCTGGAACTGTATAAACTCTCCTAGTAATTACGCATGCCCAACGAAGGGCAGTATTTTCAGGATCAACACGCGTTAGGGAAGAACGTACCCTGTCTCTCTGAACACGAATACCTTGAGATCTAATGTAGCCAATAAGGTAGGATTCACCTGTGGTATTGCCATGTCTCGTTATGTAGCCCATGATTAGCTGGTCTAGTTCATCATCAGATATGTCAGAAAATCTGTCAAGGTGTTGCAAATTATATTCCCGTACCCTACGGTGTACAGTCCATCTCGATACTTGTAAAATTTTCGAAATTTCAGTCCATGAGTACCCAGAGTTCCTTAGGTCTTCAAGAATTTCCTTTGGTATAGATAGAGATGGTCTACCTGGATCACTTGACATGCTGACATTTTCAATTCTTAAATTGGGCAGAGTGACTATCGCTCGTCTTATATTGGCTATTCTAGTTGCCCAGTAGTTGTGTAGTTCTGTCAAACACTGGGAAAGCTGCAGTAGTACAAGTCTAGTGTTGTCTGTTAAATCGATATCCAATGTGGTAAGATTTACAACCATTGATAAAGCTGTCTCAAGCTTGTTGAAAATTAAAGAAGCCTCATGAAAGGATATCCTTCCATCGTCGACTTTTTCGTTAATCATCTGCAGTAACTGATCAACTCCGTTAAAAACATCGATCCATGAGGGGTTGTCATTTTCTTCATTTTCAAAAGTTTGTTCGGCCATGTTTGAAATAACACTTCGCTTGGTGAAAAGGCCAAGTAAAGCAGAGGGGATGCTACTGACCGCTGTTCCAAAGCTATTGAATATTTTTCGAGATTTTATTGAATATATTTTTTGCCGAGTTAAATATTTTACAGTGTAATTTAGTGAAGATTTCGCCTGTCGCATTGAATATTTAACGCAGTTACACAATGTTACACAAAGGGGTATATTGAACATTTTTGTGATTATTGAATATTATATGAGTTTATTGAATATTTTAACAGTGAATTGCATATAAATTGCCTGTATTGAATTTTGCTACAATTCGGCAACCATAAAAGTCTTCATTCGAAGCTATGGTTCAATCTCCAAAAAGCCAATTATTTTTGTGAGACAATAAGCTTTTTTCCACCGTTGTCTTTTTGAAACTCTTACACATTTCCCAGCGAATTTTTCTTTTCGTATCAAAATAGTGTACATTGTTTCCAGTAAAGTGAAATGCAACGCAAACATCATAGCGCAAAAAAGAAAAAAAATAATGGAAACAGAAAAGAAAATTCCAGAAACAACATGTCAAGTAAATATAGACTGTGTTAATAATTACGATAAACTACCGAAACAATATACTTTTCGTGATATAACTATGTCCAGACTTGTTTTAAATAACTGATAATCAAGAAGAGCAATTTTGAAGGCTAATTGTCAATATCATTCTCTAATTAAAATCCAAAGGTTTTAATCAAAACTACGGCGCAATTTACAAAACCCCATTGTCTAGGTTAATCAAGAAGCTGCTTTCCAATGCAGTATTTTTTAAAATCTTAAACATTTCCCAGCAAATCTTTCTTTTCCTATCAAAAAAGTACGCATTGTGTACAGTGATATACAATAAAACACACATATCACGGCGCAAATATGCAAAAAAGTATTTGAGGCCGAACACAAAATTCCAGAATACCTTTGTATTCCTATTAATTATGATAAATTACCACGACAATGCTTTTCCTTATATAATTGTATCCACGCTTGTTGTAATTCTACAACAATAACATGGCTAGTTCATATATGAACCTAGCCTATTGGCTAATTTTTCAAAATATAGCAATCACTACAAGGGAAAGTCTTCATTCGAAGCTATGGTTCAATCTCCAAAAACCAATTATTTATGTGAGAAAATACGCTTTTTTCCACTGTAGTCTTTTTGAAACTCTTACACATTTCCCAGCGAATTTTTCTTTTCGTATCAAAAAAGTGTACATTGTCTCCAGTAAAGTGAAATGCAACGCAAAAATCATAGCGCAAATAAGAAAAAGAAATAATGGGAACAGAAAAGAAAATTCCAGAAACAACCTCTCAAGTAAATATAGACTGTGTTAGTAATTAGGATAAACTACCGAAACAATATACTTTTCGCGATATAACTATGTCCAGACTTGTTTTAATTAACTGACAATCAAGAAGAGCAATTTTGAAGGCTAATTGTCAATATCATTCTCTAATTACAATCCAAAGGCTTTAATCAAAACTACGGCGGAATTTACAAAATTAAACCCCAGTGTCTAGGTTAATCAAGAAGCTGCTTTCCAATGCAGTATTTTTTTAAATCTTAAACATTTCCCAGCAAATCTTTCTTTTCCTATCAAAAAAGTACGCATTGTGTACAGTGATATACAATAAAACACACATATCACGGCGCAAATATGGAAAAAAGTATTTGAGGCCGAACACAAAATTCCAGAATACCTTTGTATTCCTATTAAATACGATAAATTACCACGACAATGCTTTTCCTTATATAATTGTATCCACGCTTGTTGTAATTCTACAACAATAACATGGCTAGTTCATATATGAACCTAGCCTATAGGCTAATTTTTCAATAGCAATCACTACAATCGAAAGTCTTCATTCGAAGCTATGGTTCAATCTCCAAAAAGCCAATTATTTATGTGAGAAAATAAGCTTTTTTCCACCGTAGTCTTTTTGAAACTCTTACACATTTCCCAGCGAATTTTTCTTTTCGTATCAAAAAAGTGTACATTGTCTCCAGTAAAGTGAAATGCAACGCAAAAATCATAGCGCAAATAAGAAAAAAAATAATGGGAACAGAAAAGAAAATTCTAGAAACAACCTCTCAAGTAAATATAGACTGTGTTATTATTAGGATAAACTACCGAAACAATATACTTTTCGTGATATAACTATGTCCAGACTTTTTTAATTAACTGACAATCAAGAAGAGCAATTTTGAAGGCTAATTTTCAATATCATTCTCTAATTACAATCCAAAGGCTTTAATCAAAACTATACGGCGAAATTTACAAAATTAAACCCCATTGTCTAGGTTAATCAAGAAGCTGCTTTCCAATGCAGTATTTTTTTAAATCTTAAACATTTCCCAGCAAATCTTTCTTTTCCTATCAAAAAAGTACGCATTGTGTACAGTGATATACAATAAAACACACATATCACGGCGCAAATATGCAAAAAAGTATTTGAGGCCGAACACAAATTTCCAGAATACCTTTGTATTCCTATTAATTACGATAAATTACCACGACAATGCTTTTCCTTATATAATTGTATCCAGGCTTGTTGTAATTCTACAACAATAACATGGCTAGTTCATATATGAACCTTGCCTATAGGCTAATTTTTCAATAGCAATCATTACAATGGAAAGTCTTCATTCGAAGCTATGGTTCAATCTCCAAAAAGTTAATTATTTATCTGAGAAAATAAGCTTTTTTCCACCGTAGTCTTTTTGAAACTCTTACACATTTC